GAAGTCTCAAACTTAACACCTAGATATGCAACATGCTGAGAAAACCAAAATATGATACAGTGGTACCTCGGGTTACAAACGCTTCAGATTACAGATGCTTCAGGTTACAGACTCTGCTAACCCAGAAATAGTACGTCGGGTTAAGAACTTTGCTTCAGGATGAGAACAGAAATCGTGCAGTGGCAGCATGGCAGCAGTGGGAGGCCCCATCAGCTAAAGTGGTACCTCAGGTTAAGAACAGTTTCAGGTTAAGAACGGACCTCCAGAACGAATTAAGTTCTTAACCTGAGGTACCACTGTATACTCTTTGTTTGTTTATGTAATTTGTATACCAGCCTTCATCAAAACGATCCCAGTGTGGTTTGTTTGGAGCAAGGATGGGAAACCTGTGCCCCTCCAGATGTTGTTGGACTCCAACTCACATCAGCTCCGGTCACCATGACCAATTGTCAAGGATAATGTGAGTTGTAGACCAACAATATCTGGAGGGCAACAGGTTCCTCATCCCTGGTTTAGAGGATGAGTATTTCTATGAACTAAGTTAATCCTGAAATATATCCCTTTGTTCACCTTTCCTAGTGGGAAGATGAGCTGCACAATGTGATTCCTTGCTGGGCCGAGGAAAGCTGTTTAGGTTCTTACACAGGCAAATGGGACCAGTGAAAGAGCAATTCTGTCTTGCAGTTTGTGAGTCTGCCACGAAGGATCAGGGGCTCCCAGTTCGTACAAGGACAAGAGGGGAAGCCAGTTGGAATGGATGCAGGGCACTTGTTTTCCACCGAACATCGCTAGAAGTACAGGCTGCTCTACTAACACTGAGTTAATGAAAAGTTACTTGGCTCTAGCACACCAGAGTCCCATCCCTACCTCCTGCCACGTGTGTAAAACCTGACTTGGATTATAAAGTACTCCTCAAAATGAGAAAAGAAAAAAGCCACCCACAGTGACAAAGGAGGCAATCTAGAGAAAACTGTTCCACCACGATAAGATAACTTTGATATACAGTATTTCAAAAGAGAGACTTAAACCCCTCTAAGTTATTGATAGCATGGGAATGTACATGGAGTGCTTATGCCAGTGCTTGTGAAACTTTAATGTGTAGGCATCCTTTAATTTTAGAAGCAAAACAGTGTTTTGATTGTGCGCTTATCTGTCTTGTGGCTTTCCATTGCAAAGAAACTAGTGAAGGAAATGGGGACCTTTCCCCTCTGGATCAACCACAGCCTGAACTACTGATGGCAAAGGAGATTTTTGGAATGTCTTGGACTGCTAAGTGGCACTTTAACATTCTAAAGCAAACAAGAGATTGCCATTTCCTCTCTGATAACAAAGCAGCATTTACTTAGTACTACACTCTTTTTTTAAAAAAATGGAATCTGCAGATTCTACTCTTCTTGAGGAACAGAGAGGATCTGCCATTTTACCAGAAAACAAAAAGGATGATCTTGCCTGACAGTTCAAGAAATCTATTCTTAGTGACAAAGCAGGATCTGGTTTTACCTGTCTGCACTTGGACTCTACCATCTGTGTAGAGGGGCTGTAGAAAATGAGAAACCAAGGAATGCAGTTAACGGAGGAAATAAAAGCATAAGCATAGTGTCATATCCAATGGACACAACTAACTTATTTCCATCAACTTCAAAGGGTCTATTCTGAATTGAATGTAATTGGCTATAATTCATAAGGATTTCCATATCGAGTTGAAACAATTGTCCACCCAGCTTCATATTCTGCCTTTCAACTGAGGCCAGCCAAGTGCCTCTGAGAAATTTATAAACTTAGATGTCAGCATCTAACTTAAATTCCTCTCTCTCCTGACTGACCAACTTTCCAGTTCCCACTGGTTGTTGAGTCACCAGAAGGCAGACCCAGGACCTGTCTATCACAGATGGTGATATCCAATTTCTGTTGTTTGATCTCAGCATCTTATGATCAGAGGTCTGCTGTCTTTGAGTGTGGAAAGGGTGGTCCTAGAGAACATAGGTATTGGCCATCAATAAAGTTCATCTCATCTGTCTTTGTACCTAGTTCTTTAGAACAAAACCTTTATGCTAGAAGTCACCTCAATACCCTATAATGATTAAGTCACAGGGCTAAGTGTTGGAACACATATCACTCTTCATGTTGATCCTACTGTCTAGCTTTCCATTTTGTCTTAATGTTAATGTATAACATAGAAATCAGCCCTGAGTGCTCACTGGAAGGACAGATTCTGAAGCTGAGGCTCCAATACTTTGGTCACCTCATGAGAAGAGAAGACTCCCTGGAAAAGACCCTGATGCTGGGAAAGATTGAGGGCACAAGGAGAAGGGGACGACAGAGGACAAGATGGTTGGATAGTGTTCTCGAAGCTACCAGCATGAGTTTGACCAAACTGCGGGAGGCAGTGGAAGACAGGAGTGCCTGGCGTGCTCTGGTCCATGGGGTCACGAAGAGTCGGACACGACTAAACGACTAATCAACAACAAGATAACATAGAAATAGAATTGTAGAGATGGAAGGGCCCCGGGGGTCATCTAGTACAACTCCCTGCAATGCAGGAATCTCACCTAAAGCATACATGACAGATGGCCACCCAACCTCTGAGCTCCAGAGACACAGCAGGGCTCCTGACAGTCCTCCTTTTTTGTGTGTCACGTTCCTTCAGGTGTTAAATTCCTGCATTGAGTGATCTTTCTTCTGCCTAGGGACATCCTGCCTGCGTCTCCGTTCCAGGACAATCCACTTTAGTGAGAATTTCCTCATCTTGTGCGATAGCTCGAAGTGTGGATCGGCGGGCCTCAAGTTGCTCTACCTTCTCTTTCAGGAAGGCAACCAGCTTCCCCTTGGTGCAGGTGTAGTTTTGCATGACCTCAGGCAGGAAGACAAACATAGCACAGGTGTTGCACGTCACTGCAGCAGCTCGCTCACTGTCCATGTCTCTTGGTCCTATGTACACTGTGTGACGGCACTCTAGGCTTCCCCCTCAAACTCCCCCACTAAATACCCTCACTTATTTGCAAGTCCTAGTCACGACAGCTTCACCTGCTGGATTTCTTCCTGCAGTGCTCAAATTAAAAGTGCAGCAGACCTGCCTTCCTGCAGGTGGTGCTGTTGGCGCTGCTCCAGCCCATGTATGAAACAGCTGCTGCACTAAGATGGCGGCTCCATGAGGCACAGCACTTGAGGAGAGGGCAGGCTGGGAAGCTGCAAATATGACGTTTTTTTCCAGACACTGGGAGGAGAGCACAACCACCTGAGGACTTCTGGACAGTCCCCCCCTCCCCCACCTTTCCACATTTTCTTGTTTGCTTTCTTATTTGTCTTGGGACTGCCTGGGCATTGGAGGGGGTGGAGGGGTGGGAAGAAGAAGCTTCTTTCTCCCTGTGTTTGTCTGGCTGGCTCGTCTTTGCTCCCTTTATACCTCCTCCACCGATTAAACACAGATTAAAAACTCAGCGCTGGAGACACAGAGAGTTCCATTTTGAGAATGAATCCTTTATTTTCATACTTTCTCCATGTCACTCATTGTTTTATAAACCTCTGTCACTTCCTCCCCTGCAGCCATTTCCCCTCCTGGCATAACAAACCCAACTATTTAATCCTTTTTTTTCCTTTTGTATCAGAAGCTATCTATTTCCCTGACCTCTATTCATTTGCTTCTGCTCTAATGGATGTTGAACCCCTGATACTCCAGAGAAGCTGAAGAATTGCCAGAAAACCATTCTCAACTAGGAATGGGGAATAAAATTGATTTAGTTCACATTCATAACTGAACCTACAAGATCCACTCTATCCGAAACAGTATGTGAACCAATACTCAGGCAGTTTGTGTTTCTGAATTTTGCAATGCTGGTCTCCAGCCAACTAATGTGTACAAATACTGGTATATACTAGAGGTGCTGCCTCTGTCTGAGGCTACAAGGCCTTTTCTGCAGTGGTGCCCAACAAGGGAACTCCCTTCTCAGTTAAGTTGACCAGATGCTCCCCTTGTTTTTGTTTCTTCATTATCTGGCAGGTGCTTGACAGAGTCTGTCCTGTTCCTCTGAAAACAGATGTTTTGTTCCCTGCTATTTTTAGTTATTGTTTCCCCTCCCCACTTTTACTGATGTTGTTAGCTACCCTAAGGCTTTGGGAAGAAGACAGGATATTAATCTTGATATCCCCAAAATAGGTCATCTAAGGAGGATAGTAGAACTATGCATGTATAATAATTGCAAAATATATGATTACGTGTGCATGTATATACAGGGGGGATTACAGTGTTGTTCATCCCTTGAATAATTATTATTTACACTGATGTCCATATTTGCCCCTAGCCTTCATGCACAAAGTTATACGTAGAAATTTGTGGCTTTGTTTCCTTTTAGTTTTGATAGTCTTCATATATACGCACACACAGGTCAAACAACTGCATCCCTTTTGCAGCTTGAGGGATTCTGTACTATAGTTGAACTTGCCCAATAGCCTTTGCCAACCTGGTGCCCTCCACCATTTTGGATGCCAACTCCTATTGCAGGTTTCCCACAGGCATTCTTCTGTGAGAACAGGATGCTGGACTAGATGGGTCATTGGCTTGAACCACCAGGTTTGTCTTAGGTTGCTGTGCATCATCATAACCTGCCTCCTAGTTTCTGTAGTATAGGCTCCTGCTGACATGGTGGCTATGCTCTGCCTCCATGGTTGAGGCACTGACGCTTCTGAATTCCAGTTGCTGAAAACTACAGGAGGGGAGAATGCTCTTGTGCTCAGCTCCTGCCTGCAGGTTTCCCACAGGCATGTGTGTGCTGGACTAGATGGGCTACTGGCCTGATCAGGCAGGCCCTTCTTATGACATGCCATTGAGTTTGCCTTGTAGTGCATATATATACATGAGGAGATTTCAAAGCTAGCCTACATGCAGTGTAGTAAGCTCTCTCCTTCTGGATGCGTTGGGCACAAAGGGTTGTTGGTCCAGCTGGAGTTCTGAATGATTTAAAGATAGAGGCAGAGAGGGCATATTGCTGGGGTAAGAGGATTTGTTTGTTTGACTTGTACGTGGGATTTTCACATATTCAAGGGTTAACTGTAGGCTGGGATATTTAAACACCTCCAACTGAGGTAAGCACACAACTTGTTTGTTCAGGTAAATAAGGAAGGAATTAGATATAATGGGCAAAGGAAGCTTTTTCCTGAACACATTGCATTCCTAGTGTTCAGTTCAGCTGCAGGGCTATCCCTGGTACATAACTAGAGTTAGGTGCCTGTTATCTGAATGCATTTCTTTACATATTCGGCCCCTGCCACTGAGCTGCTCTGAACAGTCTGGTGACCTGTATGCATTCCACAACCTGTGGCAGATGCTTTTGGTGGTATCTTCCACCCCAGGAAGTTTGATGTGTCTTTAAGTACATGGCCCTGTTGCAAATAGTCATTTGATTCTGATGCAAGAAGAAACATCAACCTCAGCTGTTTGGTTGCCTTAACCAAGTCCCCACCCTCTTTTCTTTGAGTCCTCCATGCCCAGTGGGGGCATTTCAGATTGACAAGAGCATTTTCCTTACAACTTTACTGGATCGATGCTGCCACTGATAGCTGCCACTTCTCTGCTAACCTAAAGGGTAAGTGTGAACATTTTTAACTGATACATGTCAGAAGCAAGCCTCTCCACTCTTTCAAAAACCCAATGCTATATCTCTGTCTGAAGTAATGTGTATGTATGTCTTGTTCTAAGCAAGCTATGATTTTTAAGATTTTTCTTTTGGCTTCCCCTTACATGAACAGCCCATTCTTTGTCACCAGATGCCAGTTGGCTGAATGTGTACAATTTTTCCCTTCCTTGAAATCTAAGGGAGTTTCAACAACCTGAGAAAATACATAAGTTTTCCTGCAACTACTGTTTTGCTGATGCAACATAGCTATGCCTTGGGTTCCCCAAGGTTAGTCATCCCTGTATTTGATCTGCAACAGCCATTCTACACGTAAAACCATTGCTTGACGTTAAAGCCATCAAGCACCACATGTTTGTGTGTGGACTCTCTTGCTGTGCTTGTCCACCTGGCAATTTACTGCATTTCTGGCTTGGTGCATGAACTCAAAACTAGAAGTATCAGAAGCCATACCAGTGCTGGGGGCGGTGGCTGCGGAGGGAAGGAATAAATTGTTGCACAAGAGATTTTTCTGCCATTTTCTGCTGTGCTAGGTGCACTGACTTCAGCATTTCCACAGTGCACTGTGTAGATTACTGGGGTTCACGGTAGGAGCTCTGTGGCTTGGGAGGGTCAAATGTGCTGCATCTAAAGCAAAGCAGTGTAGTGTAGTGTAGTGTAGCATAGATCTTATAAATAACTGGCATGTAACTATGATGACTGGTTGTTGGCATCCATCTGTCTCGAGAGATAGTGGAGTGTACTGGGGGGGGGTTGAAGTCAAACCACTGCGTTAGTAGCACTGAAGTGACCTTCCTGGGGCACAAACCAGGGCAGTGTGTATGGAGTTCTTGGCCTGGCCAGACAAAAAGAACCCCCTCTTGGCCCCACTAATGTGGTCCAAAAGAAAACAGAGCAATATGTTTGGCACCAGCTTGCCTGCAGGAGTTGCTGGAAGGGGCCATCCAACCGTCTTAGGAACTCTACTCTGGATTTGTGTGGGGTTATCTCTCAAAGATGTCTTGCAAGGCAGCAAATGTTTAGGATCAGAGTTTTCCTTCTCCTAGATGGGCTACTTTCCCAAGTTGACGAGCCCCATCTGCCCCTCACTTCCCTCTACAGCATATGCAAGAAACTGCCTTCTTGGCCCCACAATTGGTCTTGTCCATTCAATCTGCTGGAGCTTGTCTTCGCATGCAGGGGAAGTCCCTAACTCACCGAGGGTTTAAGACCCATCTGTTACCCTCACCAGGTTTAGCTGACCAGTCAAAGCCGTTCCTGGAGTGTGGCTGCTGACAGCACCTAGGAGCCACAGGTGAGGGCTGAGTGCAGAGTGGGGACCAAAGGTGGACTAACTACCCCAGAAGGAGCACAATGTACTACTCCTCCCCTAACACCCCACACACTCCTCAACCTAGTAACAGTTCTAATGATTCACTGAAGTAGTTTTAGGTACATGTGAAACAGAATTCAGCAGCCATGACTTAAAGCTAATTTGGTGATGATTGGTGGCCGAGACATAGCTACAGAAGGCCATTCTGCATCTTTCATTCTTATCCCCCTCACCGCAAACCAGTAGCCTCTTCAAGCTGCTCCCCTCAGTTCCCCTGCCCCAGGGCCAAAGGCAAATTGACATTATGTTGGTTTGTTTCCCCCCCTTTGTGGTTATGCTTGGTTAGTGAAACACAAATGACACCTCACCTGCCAAATCCCTTCACAACTATTTCTCAAAGATGCAGGATTCCTTGCCGGGCAAGCAACTTCCCAGGAGAGGGAAGAGGGATTTATAAACAGGGGCTTCTCACCATTTTGAGGGGAACATCAAGCTCTGCTGCTCAGCTGGGACATGCTCAGGTTGGAGTTCTGCTGGTAGCCAGACCACTCCCTGCGCTGTTCCCATCTGAGCAGTGGGAATCAATAGAGTTGCAGGTGGAGAGAGGGCAGTCTGACCCTGGGACATGAAGACCTGTTCGCAAAGGAACAGGAACATCAAAGCCAGCTCAGAATAGGGGGCGCCATTACCCATGCATCTCTGCAGTGCCTCCAGGTAAACAGTTGCATGGATATTGGTTTTCCACTTATGCTTCTGTCCGATCGAAATGTGGATGGAAGAACTGACAACCTGATCTTTCCTCTTAACACAATTTGTTGAAAATGGCTAATTTAGGGAATTTCCTTGGAGGGAGAGTGGTTGATGAACTGAGGATTAAGGATGAAGTGCTGGGGAGAGATAAAGGTGAGAATATATGAAAGGGTGCTCCCAGAAACTTTTGACTGCAACATCACTCTTTGATTTATTAACAATAGAAAAAAGATGTTTACTTCTTTCCAGGTAAGAACTCCATTTACTTTGTAGGCTTTATGTTGAGAATAAATTTGACTCACTGCCAGTAAAAGCTTTTGTGGCACCAGAGCATTTCTCTCTTTTTCTCATTTTTGGAATTTTGGAGATCAGAGCTTACATCCATGATCAGCCATGGTTACATTGAGTAGTTTTTCTCAACCACATTGTTCATCTGTAAAGTGGGCATTTTAATAAGGACTCCTCAATAAAGCATATTAGCAAAGAGAAGTCTGACAGAAGCATTCTGCATATTAAAAGCTCCTTTTAGAGGGAGCATAACTGTGAGTAAGAGAGGACACAACTGGGTCAGTGAATAATCTTGTGTGTTACCCCATTCAGAGTTATTGGGAGACAAAGTTGGAATTTGTATCAGTACAATATGGTTCTTCCATATATTAGCACTGTACAGCACCATTTGCTATCAAGGTGTCCTTATGTAATTTTGAGCATGAAGTATAATGTGCAATATAAAGCACTGATAAACTGCAATACGGTATAGTACAGTGAGACACTGCAATATGGTTTAGTGTAGTTCACGTTGCATTGGTACTAGAATCAATACCAGGGTAAGCAGCTGTCTGTTGCTGTCAAAATGAATGTGGCAAACATGTAGTAACTGCAGTTTGCACAGGTAGGATGCTGTGCACAATGATCAACATCTTCTGTGGCAGCGCTGTGGTGATCCATCCATTAGTTTTACAGAGCTGAAGAGACATTAAATCTGGATTTTTTAAAATAAACACAACCATTTGATTCTTTGGTGAAGTATGAATAAGAATTCAGAATCCAAGGTGCTCCAGCCTCTATCTTCTCTGTTTCCCGCCTGCAAAATGGGGGCAATACTGCCACCTATCTTTAAAAGGTGAACGTTGAGGAAAAGTAGTGCAGTATATATTATTACTGGGAGGGATTCTCTCCATTGCTGAACTTCCACAAGCTTATAGAAATCATTCTTGAAAGTTCTTTCAGGACACTAGGCCAAGGGTGGTTAACCTCCCATTGTCCCTGACCATTGGTCATGTTGGCTATGGATGATGGGAGTTGTAGTTCAGCAACATCTGGAGGGCCATGGGTTAACCACGCTTGTGCTAGGCCAACAAAAGTATTGCATCTACCTAATTAACAAGTCCACTTGCACGGTAGGTAAATGACTGCTGTGAAGTATAGGTTGCCTTGCCATCTGGAGAAGCAAGTCAGATGTGGATGGCTTTCTGTGTGACCTATGGAGGAGTGCTTTTCCATCAGGCAGCAGACCTAGACCCCCAGGTTACAAATAGAACTCACCGAGCTTTCTCTGAAAAGGTGTGGATCAGAACCAGGGACAGTTCTCAAGGGCATCTGTGGCTCTGCTCTTGAAATATTGGGGTGGGTGGGGCCGATTGAATTAAGCATCCTCTCTACATGGTGTCAGACAAAATTGTGAGATATTCTGATCTGTGGTGGGCTGGTGGGTGCCATTCACAGTGACAATGAAAGGAAGCTTCCTTGCAGTGCAACATTTGGGTTGTGAGTTGAATTTTTCAGACTCTTAAAAGTGCACACGGTGGAAAATTATCAGAATCGAAGGGGAAATTATGAACCGTTCTACTCACATCTCAGCACTGAATAATATTGCCCTAGAAAATATTGAACTTGATAAAATAGTGGGACCATAATGAGATACAAAAATATCTGTGTGTTCCTAAATCTTTACACGCCATTGTAGCAATTTTATTTTGGGAAGCTTTGCATTTGAAACCACCTGACAACCAAAACAATGTTCTCCTTTTTGATTCTGAGCCTGAGCTGAACCCCTTCCTTAGAGGGTAAGCATGAGTCTTTTAAATTGACTGCCGAGTTAAGGGCAACCCACACCATCCTGACAACCCCAAACACTCGCTCTGGAAATCTAGTCCCATTAAAATGTCCTTGCAGAAATATGGACTTTCCAGAGATGATAACCAGGCATTTTGACAGCCTTGGCTGGCTATCTCCATTTCCCAGTTTCTTAACTTCACTTGGCTCTAAAGTAGCAAAGTATTTTTCATGACCAATTTGATAAGCCAATAAAAGGCATCTAATTGGCTTCTCCTCCCCACCAGCTGGCTGGCAGGCAAAGCAAACAGGGCTTTAGTTATTCTGCACCCAACCTGCTGAACTTTGATAACTTTTGTCTCCAAGTGCTTGGAACCCAGGTGGTTCTTCTACTTGGTTTGTTTTCCCTGTTGTGTAGTACCTAATGCCATAAGTGTTGGAAGGTGCCCAGGGACCAAATCTGTCAGCTCCTTTCATCATATTAGAGTGAGTTAGTAGGCATTTTTGATGATACTAATTCCAAGCACAGGCAGTGGGAACTGCTACACTCATTCTGATGTTCTGATCAATGGGTAGGTATTAAGATATTAGGCCTGGTGGGAGGTAGAATCTGTATACTGCTGGAAGCAGCTGACAAAACGCTCTGGGGAAGGAAATGTAATAAAATATTGAGCTGAGTTTTGCCAAGTTGATGATTGACAGGGCTGCTATCTTGATCTGTCTATTGATCTAGATATGTTGTATACCTGAATGCAATTGAATTTGAGAACTGGTGTGTGCTGCATACAGAGGTACACATATACATGATTGTATATTCCCCCCTTAAAATGAAATT